ATACATGACAACAACAGCGTCCAAGATACTTTTTTTCTATTTGCAAGCAAACTTACTTGAATCAGTTTACGCATTAAAAGCGGACTGAGGTGGGAGTCGCTGCAGTTTCTATGTCGTTTTAATTAAAAGCTTAGTTATTACAATGGGTCCATATAACTATTACCTTACGTGTAACTTATGAACGGAATAAATTAGTGATACCTTGGGGCTAGTGGAAATACGATAAATATGATACATCAATATAACACCCTCGTGATTCCTCCTGTTCTGCGCATATTCTAAGCTCTCAACTTCAGCTTCCTGGAGCTATATACGCTATGATGCATACATAGTTTCACACTGATCGTTTTCTAGTTGTGACGCTTAGGCATTGTAACGCAAAAAAAGTGAGCAGCTCTACTTATTAAACTTATTTGGTTTATTACATGTTCCAAGCACTATACTTAAGAATAGTATAATTATATCGACTAAACTCAATTACACGATAACCAAGAATATTAAACTAAGCAGTTGTCATAATTATTGTGTAATTTACACAGACATGTTACTCAAAGTAGTTAAATGTAGATAGTTAAGCCTACAAACCCAAAACACGAACTATAATCCAGTAAGACTGAAGACAACAGTCATTTACGTATAAAAACATAGTTTACAGCGCAACAAACCTTTTTCCAACAACATTGTTCATTGACTGTCCACTTTAAAAAAAAACAACGATTTGATTAGGCTTACTATGACTTAAGATATCATTCCAGCATGCAATGCATGTCCGGCGTAACGCAGTTGGATGTGGCAAATGAAAAGTACAGTCAGAACAAAATTCACAGCATAACGTCGTTTTTTTCACAAAAAATACATTATCATATGACAAATTAGATGACTACATCAATGTAAACATGACCGTTATTCCAATTTGCAGAACATTAGGTTGACGTAACAATGATGAGTTTAAAACCACCCGAATAACTTGAGAATAATAAATAGTACAATATTAGTCAATAGATCAAATGAAAGCTTATAGTGTAAATACTTGTATATACTCTAGTTACTTAGTAGTTATCCAATAAGAATATATGTAATAACAGTCCATAAATAATCCCTAGCAGTTATCATTTGTTTATTCTTCTTTAGGATAAAACAATTATTAACTCCATAATCTTGTGTAAAAGATGAAGTGCATATTTAAAAAGAAATTTGTTGATGACTTTATTTTCATAAGCTGTGCAATCAAAACTTCATTGAATTTAACAAAACAGAATGTATACAGAAATGATTCGAAGCCAATTTACTAAATCGTTCTTTCAGTGAAAAATGGTGCATATGGTTATAATGAGCAATCATTTTTAAAACACTTAAAGCAATCACTTTTTTGTTGATATCTTATGAAATTCAGCCACAGTAAGACTACTATCAATTTACGTATATAAAATAATTAGTGTGATGACCATATTTTATTTGTCAGAACATTCATAAACATAATGAATGGAATGCATGGAGTACAGTGTATATTGTTGTGTAGTATAAAATAATGACTGAGTAAATGCAACTCGAAAATATGGGGATCTAAGAGCCCAAATGTCAAAGACACGCGACAAGATATAAAGTTTTAATGTGACCTTATTTAGGCAAATAGTGGAGGGTTATTGAAAATGATAAATGGCAATTAACTTAATATGATGTAATAATAGTAATAACAATATTAATAATAGTCATAAAATAAATCAACTCAGCAAACTTTAGTGGGACAAGTTCGGGTGTAATGTGTTAAAAAGAATAAGATCACATATAACTTAACGATCAAAACAAGAAAGAAATAAAATAATGGGATGTGAAAGAAAATACGTATTGTCAAACATTGCTTCGTGAACAAGCTACCTACTTAACTCCATATAAGCAGGTTAATAGATATATACACAATGGTAAATGGGTGAATACAGTTTTGGTGAACTGTAACATGTAGTAAATTAACATTTCTTTGACAATCACAACCTAATTTTTCAAAACTGTTTCCAGTACACTATGATCGGTGATAAAACTAAACGTGAATTCCACAATTGTTTATACGAGGTTTATAAATATGATTATTGATAAAACAATATGATGTATAAATTTAAAATCATAAATGCTTTACTATTTGTTGTCAGAAATGTCTGTCACAACTACACAAAACATCAGTTGTGGAGATGCTTTAATCAATCGCTTTTGATCACTCAGGAAGACATATATATATGAAATCCAATCTCTATTAATGCGAGTCCCAAAAGGTAAGGGTTAAAGAGAAACTTTATGAAATTATAAAATGATGTCACCAATATATTAAATGAACTAAAATAATAAGTCAATAGCGAGCATTAAAAGGGATTCACAGAGGCGGGCAGATGAAAAATAACTATTAATTCGTTATAAAATGATTTAATTAGGTAGTCAGTACAGTTACAAGTGATAGGGAAAATAAAGATGGTTAACTAAACTACTACTTTCGAATAAATTGAGCATTGGGTAGATTGTTATAAATAGATAAATAATATATTTGTGATATCCAAACGAGTAGAAAATTAGATTTTCTGTCGTTTCGTGACTTAGTGTAAGTCACTTCTTCAGAGAATAAATAACCAAATTAATTAAACTTGGATTAATTTTAATTTATTCTCTGAAGAAGTGACTTACACCAAGTCACGAAACGTCAGAAAATCTAATTTTCTACTCGTTGGGATATTACAGATATATTATTTATTTATTTATAAACTACTACTAATTAATTGTAGTGAAAGTGATTGTATATAAAACAAATTAGTACCTATAGATTATTTGATTAGAGTTCAAAGTGATGCAATTATATAAGAAGGCAACAATCTAAATTCCAGGTTATAGTTTAATCTGCTTCATCTGAATGGGACTAAAATACATAAACTCGCAGGAACCCTGAAGTTTTGATTGTAAATAGCTATCTTCAGAAAAGAGTGAAAGTGAATAACGACACAAAGATTTGGAGATGCATTCTCAAGTTATACGGCGAAATGTAGGTTGCACTGCTATACGCAGTATGAAGTTGATATAAAACAGTTAGCGGGATGCAATCACGTTTCAGGTAAAGCTAGAGTAAATAGGAGGAAATAAGTCAGTAGAATAAATGGTCAGGCAGCCCCATCACTAGAAACAATATACCCAATAGTGGCTAGGTTATCCAACGGTTTGTCGAATGCAGTTTCTGCACAACTTCCAGATATGAACCCAGTGAAACATGACCATCAGACCCCCCCTTATCAAATCCAGGTTAATTGAATGTATTACCTCTGCCTTCTGAATCTAAGACGACTGTAAGAAAGTAGGATTTCCTTCTGCATGACACTGGGCAGGATGAAAATGAATTTTTGTCTTTTTTTAACACTCCAGCAAGTATATCCGAATGTATTTCACGAACATTGCTCGTTCCACTTGAGGGATTATTTATAGTGGAAACTACATCGATCAGAAAACTCTAAGCAACAGATGAAAATTTTGCTTTGTGAATCCGACAGTTAGCAGCATTAACTTATGTACGAGCTGCAGATGTCTTAATTGTATTTGACAATCTACCTGAGTTACAATTCTATGTAAATAATGGAGAGAAAATCAAAGTATTAATAAGTCACTTTGAAAAAAGTCCGAATTGAGAGACCGAAAGGATGTTGATGCCACGGATATCCTATTTCTAAGTTGTACTGTGGGATATCTACGGTTAAGTTTGGGAATATATGCCTAAAGTGAACAGTGAGGTAGAGTGGTAGTATAGAGGCTTTACCCAACCCATTGATACTGGTCATTAAAACATGGACATTCACTGATGCTCTAAACAAAGGAACAGAGTCTAAATACATACAAAATAGAACAGTTCGTTGGTGAGATGCAGCAGCGACAGAATTTGTCGTTTAAGTACACTCCCACAAATATCACTAATTGTTGAGAAGTAAAACATATTCCATACGTTCTTCAATGAATTATTAGTATTCCTCTGAAACTGTTATTTACTGACCACACTTAAGCCTTTCCAAATACCGATCAGGTTGATGCACTTCAGAAATCTAGTTTTAGTTTACTGGAATAAGTGTTGTCTAGATTTCGTAAAAACTTCGAATTCCTTTAAAAGTAAAACTACTATTACCGAGGGTAATAGGTATTTTTGTTCAGACAGTCTAGTTGTCTAGCTTCCAAAATGTAATATTTATATTAAGCTATATTTTTCTGTCATAAATAGTGAAATTAACGATTCATTCTTTTTAATAACAGTCTTTAGAATTATATGCTAGATGGATTTATAATTAACTTGGTACTGTATGCTTAGAATCTTTCATCTTTCTTGAATTATGACAAAAATAATTCCTTTTAACTATTGAATCCATTTGTACTATGTAATGGACAATATAGAGCACAGATAAATGTAATCCAAGTATCTCTGATGATGAACTCAAAAGACATACTCTGATTATGAAACACATTCAACTAGTCAAGTGATTTCAAGCAACAAAATAATGATTTTCTTTAAAAAAATGACAGAAAAAGTGGTTTCTTCAGAGTAAAATAAGTGTTTAAAAATAATGATTGATAAAACAATAGATATTCATTTTGGTAGGCTAACTAAATGCCCAAGTTGGAATTGAGAAAGCGTCATTTTCACAATGAACTATATCTGTCTATGATTTTTGATATTCATTTTAAAAGTACCATAGACTGAACTTGAAATATTTTTCAGATTTATTTTCTAGGCTAGTCAGAATGGTGGTTGTAATGATTTTACTATACAGGTGAGAAGGTTACTGTTAACTGGCCTAGTTTGATGAACCAATCAAAATGCTCTAAATTAAATCATCGTTTAGATTTGCCAACTTAAAGCGAAAGGTAGTCAGCAAAGTGATTGGTTGTCTTATCTGGCTAAAACAAAAATTGATGTGAGCTGTATGGCCTAACTATTTAGGTGGCATAACTTTATTAGCTTTTCGACTGAACTAATTTTAATTCTTCAAATGCATATTCTTAATCATCAAATAATCTATTTCATATTTTGCCCATTATACATATTTTACGACAGCAAATGTGCAGTTTTAGATGCTAGTTCAATTCGAGATGAAATTGTGGAAACATTATTCGCTAATTATCAGAGTCATGTTCGCCCTGGAGAGCTTATTCGTAACACAACAGTGGTAACAGTTTATATATCTGTATCAGCTATAACATCTGTGGATGTACGTAATATGGAATACACTATTGATATGTTACTTCGTCAAGCATGGTATGATCCTAGACTAGCTTGGGATCAAATTGAGAAATTCAAACATTATACAAAAAACATTGTTTCTCCGGTTTTCAAAGAAAAAATATGGCTACCAGACTTGTTCTTTCGAAATGGTAAGGAAGGCCGATTACATAAAATGACTTGTGAGAACTTACTAATACGCATACAACCGAATGGTGAAATATTGTACAGTCAGAAGATCACCATGCGAATGGCCTGTCAGATGGAATTACGGACATTCCCTATGGATACACAGGAGTGCGATATGAATATTGGAAGTTATGGATATACATTAGAGCAAGTGAGCTTTGTGTGGAGAAACATATCACCTGTCACATTACCAGAGAATTTGCAGATATCGGAGTTTGACCCACCTGAAGTGGTCAGAGCTTATGATTGCACAAGCGGATACTCCACATCAACTGGACAATACACATGTTTAAACGCTACTTTTACGCTACAACGGCAGTTGGGTTACTGGTTGGCAAGTACCTATATACCGAATATTCTCATAATGGTTGTTTCATGGCTAAACTTTTGGGTTAGTTTAGAGGCGATTCCGGCCAGAGTAAATTTAAGTTTGTTAACGTTACTTGGTGTGATAACTCAGTCGACCAGTTACGCAAGTTCCCTTCCAAGGGTATCGTATATTAAAGCAATTGATATTTGGACAATAGCATGCATAACGTTTAATTCTGGAGTATTACTTGAATTTGCGATCGCTTCTCATCTTGCTAGGCGTCAAAAAGTATCTGAATGGCAGGTAGAAGTTCGGAAGCTAGTTAGACGTGAACTAGCGAGGTGGTGTTCTGCTTGCCAATTACAATATGCACAAAGGGGACCATCTGCGCTCTCAGCATACTCAGCTTCAAGCAGATCAAATGAGAAAGTTAGTGAGTACATCAACTCGGTAGCTGCCGCTGCTTTCGCCATTCAGAATAGCCCTGTACTAGAAAGACCAAGTCCTCAAATGTCTGTTCGCCTAACAAAGTCAGGTTTAATGTCAATGGCTAATATTAAGTCCGGAAAACCAGATAAAGTTTCAAAGGGTGTTTTTTACGAATTAGTTACCAATGATTCTGCACTTACAGCTTTAGATACAACACAAAAGGATGCCCTTTTACCACCAAATGAACCACAAAGCGTTAAAAAACCAGCGTCAATGTCGAAAATAGATAGTTATAGTCGATTCGTTTTTCCAGCATGCTTTTTACTTTACAATTGTTTTTATTGGCTTTATTATTTAGTGATTGTTAAGCATAAATAGAAAGATAAATAATGAATAAAAACTGTTTTCCATACCTCATAAATCATTCCTTCATTGTGCTGATATTTTGATGAACAAGAATTTTTATGTACTCCTCTTAATAAATCTTTGCTCAATTAGATCTCCATCGTGTCAACGGAAATCAGGTAACTTATAATTTCAATTTTTTGCCTTTAATCAGTATTACTTGCAATAATTATCCATATTTAATGGGAAGTTGACAACTTGTTCTGCTATATAGTTTGAAACTTCAATTTCTCATTGAATAAGTTTGTTTTAAATTTTCAGACGAATCTTCCTTCATTTTCGTTAGTAATAAAAATAGTATTAAATAGTGTACGATATTCTTTTCAAAAATTTACTTGTCGGTATTTCATATTGCTTCGTTTATTGTAGTTTTTTCCTCTTCTAATAACTAGTTATAAAATCTTAATGGAAAAAGTTATAGTTACCATTATAGATATCTTCAGTGACCTTTATCAAAATTAATTTATTTACAACTAAGTAGTAAATAGTTTAAAACAATTTATGGCCGCTATATCATTAAAAACTTAATTTTTGTAATATTTCCGGATATCCCATATATACACACTTATTGTATTCCATTCATTGCATTTACTCCAACATTTTTAGTGTACATATTTTATTCTTGTACCTAAATGTGATTTCTATTCAATCCTAGTATAACATAATATTTAAAAATACAATAAGGCGTTACTAAGTTGTTACCAAGGTCCCATATCGTGTTAAGGATAAATAATCTGCTATAAACAATGGATTGTGTTTATCACTCATATATGATTAGCATATCACGAAAACAAGTAAAACTACTGGAAACGTAATGTTAACATATTTCCTGTTTCGGAGAATAAGAATCCCATCATATCAACTAGAAGTACGATTAAAAAAAAACTCACAAAACTAACTGTATGACAGATATTCTTGTGTTTTAATATATAGTATTGAAGTATATATATTTCGACTTTGGATATCCAGAATGTTGCTAAATGATTATTATGCAATCGAATTAACGTATCCTATAATTCCGACACTCATTGTAGTACTTTTGGATATCTTAAAGACATACCTTATGACGAAATATTGTTTCTTGATCAATCAATACATCACTGATTAAGAATTCGAAAAATCATTCTATATACATTGGCTATGATTAGAATTTTATAACAGCGTTCACAGTGTCGATAGATAGTGCCATATGGAGAAATAAGTTTGCTCAGTGAACCAGGAAATTTTCTAAACAAAACCACAGGTACTAATGATAACTTTTGGAATATGAGTGTTTAGTTGGTAGATGAGCATTATGTAGTGTACAAATAAAAAAGATAATCACAAAATAAAACTGAAAACTTTAACTTCGAAGATTTCCACAAACTTTCAGTTTTTCATCCTTATAAAAAATCGACTTGTATCATCTTGCGTCTTTTCTTAGGCAAACATAGAATCGGATTAAACAAATAAGTTTAATAAAGTAAACTGACTGAGTTAAATAGTCACTCTATATTACCTCATTATCATCGAATTTATATACATACCTGGATTAAGAAGGAACAATTCAGAAGTGATTCAGAAAACTCATTTTACATTGTTGATTTTTGGTCTGAACTAATAAGAGTCGTAAAACCACCAGAAATAGAAGTTTTTAGGAACTACATTGCTACTCAATCGTACTGTGACAGGTTCGAATCTTATTGTTGATTTGCAATTAGCAGATTGGATATAAAGCGAAATTTTGCGTTTAGACAGCTAGGAAAAAAGACGAATATAGAGAAGTATTTCTTATCAATTAAAGTGAGAAGAGAATAGCTACAGACGCTATCCTACTACACAGTTTGTATTTCGATATGAAGAGCATTACTACACTACAGTTAGCCATATGATAGTATAATCAGATTAGCCAATCAAGATATGATAACCTCATACAAGAAAACTATAGCCCTTTTTAATACAAAACGTTTAATAAGGTAGACATATTATCGATCACTAAAAAGGTAGTTTGAGACAAAAATTCAGGTTTGATTGCAATAAACAATTGGTTTGTCTTTAAATCTGATAAGTAATTAATTGTAGGGTTATGAAACACTATTCGAATTCTGGTGTCTCGCTGTCAAAAAATCTCACGATCTTATTCGTAAGACTTTAATATGAAATTCAAAACTGAATCCAATTTTCTGATGACTAAACATCTCTCAAATAACTTAGTGACAATTATAAAATTACTCAGTTGCGCCAGTAGTTTAAGCCTATAAAGTTGACTAAATAGAATTAAGTGGGTCTTGAGCGACGAATGATGAATGCAGTTATTTTTCTGATATTAGCAATCAATGAATAAAAGACAAAATCAAACATCGAAAAGAAAATTAAGGGGATCACGATAGTTAAAATTTGAAAATAATATTAAACGAAATCGGAGTAATGTTTGAACTCTACATATTCTAGGCGATAGGCTCAGTAACTAAGATTATATATGCGAAAATTAATAAGCGTAAAAGTAAGTTGGGATCATCATACCTTATGAAGAATGTACCGGATTCATCGTTGTTTATTCTAAAGTTCTAAACGTCGCTGGAGTTCAATGAGAAAATATGTCTCGACAATATCTGAAAAATAATTACTTTGAAATATACATGCGATTTGGGAAAGCTATCTTGTTTTTGAAATATAATGACAAGTTAGTGATACATCTACCGTTCGACTATAACCACTATGAAATCCGAGTAAACTACATCAGTATAATTCAACGGCTTAATCGCAGAAGGAAATTATCTTCAATACGACAATGTTTTTGATAAAATGTGCATAGAACCACGTGATGGTAAAACTCATGTAGTCCGTAATGCCAATAGAATTATAACACAAAATACTGCTCCCAACAGTACTTGTTCTCGGAGGACATATTCTGTTAGGAAGCAGCCTTTGCATAAAGGTTTCCATATTTCCAAGTGGTCAAGAAAGGGAAGTAGTTATTCGGACATGGATCAGTGTACATTGGACCTTTGTTGAAATATGAAAAAACGGAATGCTAAGTTACTCCGTTTGAAGTATTATGCTGAATCTGGAACATTACTCCATATTTGACATACCTCTAACTGGAACAGGTTTCTCTTAATAGTACTTACAATTCTATTTACCAATGTACGCAACCAATCACATAGACGTTTCTTTTACTTGGGCATATCCCGACAATTTATTAAGTTATTTAGTAGCACATTTGTTAGGTATCTAATTTGGACAAGTCATTTTTGTATCAACCTACATAAAGAGAAACACAGCGTAGTTAACTCCTTATCAGTAACCGCAATAATTCAGCATAAACTCGCCACTTAGTAACTGGTGAGTGAAATTGGAATTACGCTGTAACGATGCCACAAAACATTCCCATTTTGTTGTGCGAATATATTCGTTCTTGCTACATTGAAATACGGCTGACATATAGTATGACTGGCTCCTAACAATAATGAAGTTGATTCCTTTTTCATTTTCTGTTCGAAAGCAGTGTTTTATCTGAAATGTAGTGGACCACACATTACTACCGTGACAAAAATTTGATGGTAACTCGGTATGTCATTATTTCTAAGTATTTTAAATTTAGACAGTGAAACGAGACAGAAATGCTCTTTTTACCATAATGTGATTTGTTTAGTGTTTGAAAACTTGGACCTTGAATCACTTATCTCCAGAAACCTTTTACTCTTGAACCCCGAAACGAAAAAACAAAACAACGGAATTATGGAAGAAGTTTTACTTTCAAGGTTAGTTTATATGCATAATATATAGGTGTTTATAATGTTACGTGGCCTTGATATTCTAGAGGCTTCTAGAAAACAAGATAAAATTGATAATTAACTAAACGGAGGAAAGCAATACAACTTGTCGTTTTTCAAAGTTCTCGTGGTAATTTTTAAGTAATGTTGATAGACAGAAGTATTTTCAGCATTTTTCCAGTCTCTAAAGACAATTTCGAGAGCTCCTAACCTGAAGGAAGCTGCCAGATAAATCTGATATTTTGGACACTTATTTCTATATTTCGGAATTCTTAACACAAAATAATGCACTTAACCGGGGAGTGGGTATTTATTTCACAGCAAAGTCATAGATATTTCAAGACGTATTTGTAAGATGACTTTTAGTAAATAACTTAACCCATCTTACTAGATTAACATTTCGATTTCCAAAGATTGATATCAGAATTTGTACTTGTAACGTTTGAATTCAAACAATAAAATAGAAAAATATAGTTCAACAGTGATGTTTGATAAATGAATTTTACTAATTCTATTAAGTCAGTATGGACTGAGTCAAGTGTATTGACGATAGAAACAACTACGAACAAAACTATCAACAATGAATATCTAGACCACTCTAATGAATATGTGAAACATTTAGCTACAAACTGCAAACCAAGAGTAGGTCTAGGTTTACAGAAACGATTAAAAATGTTGTTAAGATCATTTATGTATACCAAATTTTTCAAGTTAGTTGTTATCAGTAACGATGAGATCTCAGTCTTTCCGTTGCATAACGCTTTTAATTAGCGCTAGTGAGATTACTTTTTAAGATCCATGACAGAGTCGTCAACAAGAAAACAAATTACTTGGACAAAAGCAGTTTTTACTATGGTAAACGTTATATTATGGCATATTTAAGCGAACGAAACGTCTATTAATTTACAAATTCAACACAACGTATACTTTATTGGATGTATCATGGTGTAGTACGCTTACAAAAATGAAACAACAGAAAAGAGAAAAAAGATATGGTTATATACGAGTTCACAGAATAAGGGTTAAGAAGACATTTGTTTTCTTTTATATGAAATTGCAGTTCAAATTAAGCGGACGGAAACAGGTCACTAAAGTGTTCGGTACAATATTTACGGCATTCATCTGGAAAAAAAAACGATAGAAGATATGCATCTCATGGATAATTATGCGAATGTATAACCAAGAAGAGCTTCATGTGTTCGAAATTGCATTATAATGGCTGTGTTAAGACCTAGGCCAAACTATTCTTACATCCCTTTAATATATACATTGATCTGAATAAAATCAGGTTTTAGCTAAATGATATATTTGTAATAATTTTTTAGTTAGTATTGAATCAAGAAATAACATAATTGACATTTAAATTTGTTTTAACGTGAAAATATATGGAGAAGCACGTTATTAGCATACCACTACCATTCTCTGTAATGTATAAATCAACAAGTATTGAGAATGTACATTACGTATAGTAGTATTATATACGATACAAGAATCCTCGTAATGATAAAGTTGTTTCATAAATTTTGATAAGTGATATCTCTCCACAATTAGTTGAATTCACTAAACAATTATTTTCATGATTCGGATATGTATGATATTATCAAAAAAGAGATCTTATTAAGTTCATAAGGAATCATTACTAAAGTATTTAAAATTTTGAGATTACATAAGCTGAAGCAGTATTTCAATTTTAATTTAAAATGTAGTAACAATTTATACACAAGCCTTTTTATCTAGAAATTAAATCAATGATTTATAAACATTATGGTGACAAGTGTTAGAAACTATACTGTGTAAATCTTTCGTTTTACTGATCAGGGATACGAGGTATTCACAAGTAATGCCTAATAAATAAAATGTAACCTAATAATTCAAAAAGCTAAACTCCTGAATAGTTAGCACCTAAACTAACGGTTGAAAACGGAGTCCTTGAAAAACTCGGTAAACGAATGACTAACTATGTAGGAATTAATTTGAATTCAAGACAATTTTAAGGTTTAAGCAATCTAGACGTGATAAGGCTTTTAGAATAACAATTTTCAAAAAGTACCTGAGTCCCAATAAGACTCCATACACATTGAACTTTCTTTAAGAAAATGGTGAGTACAATATAATTCCATATAATCTTCGATTTGTTGAATAGCATCCAAATAATTGCGAACATTCTCCATGTCAATGACATTTTCTGAGCGATGCAGCCTAGCGAATCTGTGAAAGTTACAAAAAACTAGAATATACTGCCGACGTTTACCTAGTGTTCAAAAAACTAAAAGTAACACTAAACATTCTAAACATTAATAAATTTATTGTTATATGGTTGGAAACCATACTAATAGTGATATTTAGAGACAAAGAATTCCAAAACTCGCATGTTGTTACATAAAAGAAAAGGAATGGTGGCAAGTTAATTATATGTATGACAACTTTCTATACACAAATACTACACTTTGAAAGCTTGGTACCCTGGGATCCGGAAGTTATTACTTCAGGCGTTGGTATGTACCAGTCTTGAAGTAATATTTTGCGTCTAGAGGGGGGCAGACGTATGTCAAGTACAGTTGCATTATTGCTCAAGATCAAAAGACTGTATTTCCATTATTACCAAACAGAACTATCCCATCTACATATTCCACGTTGACAAGAGTTTTAGTTCCATAAAAATCAGAGGACAAGTGTTATTTCTAAGAGAATGACAAAGTTAAGTAAAACAAAGAAGCAGCGGACAATCCCGACGAACACAACTTGGTGTTATCAATTTTAATGACTAGTAGTAGTCGAAAAGAGAATCCATACAAGGTCGACGTATTTCTTTGTTAAGCTTTTTAATAACAGATACTTTCACAAAACCGCTCGATCTACGATCGAGAAATACCAAAATTATCAGACATCGGCAAATATGCCTGTTTTGTAATCTGATGAGGGATGAATATTTGATCGACACAACCAAGTTCAGGTTTGAAAACAGCATCGTTTTCCGAGTTCGCTCTTCACGAGCCCCCCTCCAAGAGTTTGGTGATTACTGAAGGTAATATCCTAGACAAACTATATTTAGGTCAAACTGATTACCTTGTGGTTATTACACGAAAATTTTTGCCCTTGTTTATAAGCTAGGATGACAAGTGGTCGAGACTAATTACATCGGATTATATCAAGCTAGTATATCAATCCGTTTACCCGCCAAAACTGTCTCCCTGTTATTAAGGATCTCCGTTACCAAACTATTAGAGACCCTTATTCACCTTCTTTTAGTGCTAGCTATGATCATTACAAATTCGTTAGATTTATTTATTTGAACACATAAATATTGGTACAAGGGGGAAACAAATATATATGCGCCACACTAAAAACGGTATTCGTATTTGGTGGTAGCATACAATTTTCAACCAGGCAGTGACTCGAGAACGTTTAAATAGAACCGAGTTTCCACCATAAGCTAGCTACTGTATAAGTCGAAAAATAAGGATACACAAAGTTGGAATAAAAGAGAGTGAATAAGTGACGTGGTAAATAATAATAACAATGATAATAATAGTAATAATAATGTGAATTGTTAGACTGTTAATCGAAACGTGAATAGAATTTTCAGTAATTATCGTCATTTTCATTTTATTTGTATGTGAGCTGCGATACTGCCCGGATGCCCAGACCGAAGCAGGTGGTTTTCTTAGGGATCCACACCCCAAGCCTTTGGCTTAGAGGTCTGACCCAAAAGGCAGTGGAGCATCGTGAGGAGATGCAGTCTCATGGTAGCCGGTAAACAACGATTGGATCCCGCAGGATACTGGAGCGCATGTGCACTATTGGTTTGGAATCCGGTTAAAGCTCCAGACATTCGCTTTTCATCCTCTCATTTTCGTAGACAACACCCCCGCCACGAGAAGGCAGTGAGTATGACTCCCATGGCAGAGGCTGTATACGCGTGGCCGTGTGAGTGTTTCGAGAGGGAGGGTGGGCCCACCCCACTCTCAGCCATACCAGGGCATTTGGGGACTTCGTTCGGAGTCATAAGTACATGTCGCTCTTCCTCTCAGGCTGTCTGGAAACAGTGGATAACTGAAGAGTACCAAGAAAACAGTTGAAAAGTTCCTCGAAGATGTACTTCCCATATATTCAACTGTCTCAGTAGAAAGAGGATTAATGTTCTAACTTTTTTGACGATAGTCTCACTAACACTTGACGTTTTACTACCTATTTCTTCAATAAGTTTGAAAAATTTTCAACCAATAACCACTGCCACTTTTTCCCATCTACTTTGTTTTCGTTGGCTGCCACACTTGACAATCATTGCTTAGACTATTCGCTAGTCCACAATTAGGTTGTTCTCGTTTTTCATAGTACTCAGAGACTGATGAGATGAGTTTGAGTTTACCAACTACTCAGTAACCACCATAGAGATCCACTTATATTTCTTAACTTTTTGGTTCAATCCACGGGTAAATGTCATTGCTGTTTTCACACCTATTTGGATATCATGAAACTTACATGGAAGTGAACATCGCTAATTGCATCTCTAGTTGTTCCTACAATATCCTCTCGACGTTTCGTCTTTGAGGTGAACCATAATGGGTCTTCCAATTGTCACTTTTCCGAGTCCAGTAAAATGCGAACAAAGATGGCCTCTCACTAGAACATGATTAGAGTCGATACGTGTTCGTGATTGAGTGTCAGAATTCTACAGAGCCTCTCAAAAATGGCTGATGGCAATATGATCTATTCGTACTCATTGTTGAATAAATCTTGGTGGGTCGCCGTCTCAAACGATGTCTCTTCATGTGTTTAAAGCTGTTGGGTGTGTGTAGTTGTAGTAGATGGTTATCTATTTTCGTTCACTGAGCTGGGACAACGAAAGGTCTATCTAGGTGTCTTTTAGCTTGGTCCAGCCAACCTACTTAAGTAATAAAATTAAATGCTATGATTACTATGGTTGAGCATTTAGATTCTGTTAGAAGAGCAGAGAACTTTCTGTAAAATTCATTTATTAAGATTACAGCCAGCGAAAGCATAGACACTGAGAATATGAAAAGGAAAGGGTGTGTATCACCATTTAACTGAACAGTTCACAAGTGACTATCTATTGAAATTCAGTCTACGAGAGCCTGTACTACCTTCGCTCTTAATCATATGACTATCTCGACGAAGCAACAATAATTTATACAAAAAAGCCCCAAATATACGGAGGGTGAATTGAGTCGGTTCTTAATACTGATCATGCCAGGATCTTGCATGCGAGTTTCGGGTATGTAGAATATACTAATAACATGAGACTCTAATATATATATAATTCCAATTTCGTCTTAAACAAAAAGCTAAGACGTGGACTTTTGGAGGAAAACTTATTACCTTAATGCCTCTAATGGCCGTCCTTTTATCAGTAATGCATCGAACAATTCAGTGTTGCATGTATTCAATCTCTGATAAGAAGATTAGTGAAAATAAACACAAAAATATAAAGAGAAATTAAAATACTTAACAGCCAACACAAGTAATTTTTATCATCGGAACAATCTAATTCTTCAAAATTTTATAACAATCTGTGCATAGGAACTTAAATGCGATATGAATTTTGTACTGACACAGAAATTCGATCCTAAAATCTCAAGTCAGAATTCCAGTAGCGATCGTTACATACATAAAAAATTACAACACCATTAATAAAAATATACCAACAAACGGATGACAAAGTTTGACAATAACCAACCAAATTCAGTGCTGATAGAACAAGCTGTTAGTCGTTAGTAAATTCTAACAGTCCAAATTCTTTTGAAGTTTGTCAAGTCAAACAATGTATTACATATTATCAGTGACGAACCAATTTCTTCCTAATATTTCATTCGTTGGTTGTAAATTAACTACTTTACGATTGGTTGGTGGGTTTTGTATAGCTCTAGCTATATTGAATTCGTTATATTTTACCCTTGTTTCTACTGAGTACTAAATGTTTTGCTGATTTTATCACCTTGAGTGTTACGTAAACCAGTTATTGTTTACTGTAGTACCATATAATATAGATTTATAGATTTTCGAGAAGCTGGGAGATTTTTAGAATTTGATAGACTCTTAATGTGATGTTCCAGTGAACCCAATACAATGTAACCTTTACAGCTGAATCATCCTGCTCAGAAAGTGTGGATCGACTAAAACAACTTGTTCATCCGTCAGAACCTAATTATTGAATTTTACTAACAAATATTGTTAAGGTAATTCTTGAAATAAACTTTAGTGATAACAGTGATCAAATAATTTCAGGTAACGGAATGCTTCTTGGCTGCTATCATAGATTATTTTTTGACAAACAATAATTATAATCACCTAAGTTTCATTAAGACTGAACAGTCAGTTGTTTACAGCTTTCGGATTGACATTCAGTTTGTGGTAAGCAGACTGCTATCATTAGCGTGAAATAAATTCAAGAATGAGAGTAACTATTATTGTTAGATGGTTAATAGTTGCATTGTCAAAAGATCATCATTTGATCAGATCTTTATCATTTTTGGAGGACCGTACTAAAGATGTTAAATCGGAATGAGTTGTGAACTTCTATTGTTTTTTTTAAATTTCAACATACAATCGCTATTGACTTCAGCTCATGTAATCAAAAAATGGATTGGTGACCTACCTTTAGCATATCAATACCAAGTTGTCCTGCTGCGGGATACACACTTTCCAAAGAAAGCAGTTGAAGTGCCTACAAAAAGTTATACACTAGATAACAAGATATGGTCAATTTCTATGAAACGGAAAAAAATGATTTTGAGAATTAGCAAACGTTTGGTCTCTAAAGTGCAAAGTGGACCCAACTAAAAAGTCGTCTACGAAGAAAATAAATCAGAACATCATCTAAAAGTTTTCTCAAGAATTAAAACTTTCAGCTTTAAAATATGATGTACATAGGCTACAGAAGAACTAAAAAACAGCTAACCCCTGCATAAAATTAGGGAATAGACACACGTTCTGGTTACAAAGGTTAAAGCTATGAATAATATCATGAAAATACCATTAAATTGTTTTGCTTTTCTCAACACGATCAAATATTCGTACGCTACAAAAAGCACTTTATGCTTGGTGATTATAAATACTACAGTTAACAAAATACATTGAAGAATAAAATTTAACTATTGTGAATTTACTCTCATTAACTAAGTTACAATAAGCGATTACTAACAACCGTTCAGAGTGTTCCTTGAGATACACCTAGTGCAGATTAATCAACAATAAGTTAGAACTAAAATTATAAAAAGTGGTTACCATGACAATAAACAAATGGAATCTTGGACGAACTACAAATACGTATTGGAAGAAATGGTAAATTGCTAGAATCATTCAACTATTTACGAACAAATTACAAGTCAGAAAACCAATAACTCAAAATTCTCATTTTTATAGGATAAGGTATTACGGTAGGCTTTGAATCAGCAAGTAGACGACTTTGAATATAAAAACTGAGTTGTGTATAATCCCCCACTCTGGCGGTGAGATTGACGAGCATTTCGTAGAAACAATGCTGAAAATAAATTAATTTAAAAAGACGTCAATAAAGATTTAAATATGAGAAAAAAAGTGCAGAATCATCTCATTATGTGACGAGAATTTGGAAGTGTAAAGGTCACTTCAAATTCAAAATATCTGGCATGGAATTTAAGATAGACAAAACATATAACTAAGGCAGATTAGAAAGCATCACTGTCGATTATTCACCTTCATATTATAATACGTTATAATAGTGACAACGTATGTGACAAATTTTCAGATATCAATGTTTTCGAGCTGTTTATATTCCGAACTTTATCAGAGCGGTCTCTGTTACCACACATGAAACCCACACGGATACCCCAATATTGCAAAAGTATATACGTTTCTGATATGCTTTTCAGTTGTGACTGGCAGTGGAATCAGTGACGTGTACTTTTTCCAGGCTGGGACTAGTCAGTTGGTATCTAAAGAGATAGATATTTAGTCCGAATTTCAGTGTACATGTAAAAATTAGGATGCTAATTTGTCCATATAACGTGTTATACATAGGGTAAGATGTGCACCCTGGATTCCACTGCTAGTCACAATCCGAAAATACACAAAAGATATGTGAAACTGGTAAATGTAGCTCTTTGGATTCTGATCCATTAAGTAAACTGTAACGTGACCAATGCAGGGTCTGACTGTCTCTTGAGAAATCCTGTATGGTGACAAAAATGAGCATTTAAAGGAAAAAGCTAAACGACTGTTCGATGCTTCTTATTTCTAGTAGTTTTTAGAAGTAGACAATCTTAACTGACATAACATAAATTCCAAAAGGAATTTTAATCATATTTCGCTATCAATCATTTAGTCACGAGCATAACAAGGGTCTACGTTTTCTCTGCATTCCGGTTTAAAATAAACAGTGGACATGAAACACATCATATTGATATGTATTGATAAAAAACAGCTTAGGATGATACTGAGAAAAGTCTTAGGAAATACTATTTGGTTGTACTGAGAAGTCAAAACCTTTTAATATCTTCCTGAAAATTCCTACTTCTGGTATATGAACAGTCAACGTTGGCAGCTGACTGGCAAATCCGAAATAATGAGATGAAAACTCTGTGGAGCGAGAAAATTTGCAGTAAAAGTCCCAGCGTATCCCACGAAAAAAAATCATGTATCGCCTTTTATCTGAAGAGTGATTAATCTTTCTATTAGAATGTTCATAATTGTAGAACATAGCCATGGAAATAAATTCCGTAAATATGTTATGATGCCAGGTGGTAATTGACCACTGACAGAGGTTATCATCACTTATTTATTAAGAATCTGTCAAAAACACTGAATGAAAACATAAGCTTTTATAAACAGTAAATATGGGTTCATTTGAAATATAATTATACATATTTATCTAACGATACAAATGTTGTAAGCACAGTTGTAATCATTCTTACTTCTTGTCTCTACTTAGCATAATTCTATATGGTGCAACTAACAACTTTAGCTAGATAAAACTATTTTAATTATAACACTAAAAATTAATGATACTCACATCTACACAAATGTCGTGCTCTGAAAATATGCGAATATATTCAATCAGTATAGAGCGAAACAATTTACGGACTTCTAGTCTCTATAAATAAGAAAGACCAGCAAAGCATTCGTTAAGTTGCATTCAAAATAAGTTTACAAAATAGAAGTTATTTATGGTTTGAATAATTATCTGAAAGCTAGGATATTTCGAAAAAAAAGCATACACAGAAGTGTTATATCCCGATAAGAATAAGGAATGGTAACTGTTGGAATGCATTTCTGGACAAATACTATACACATATTTTTATTGTATGGTAGTTAAGTAACTAAACTATTCATATTCGTGTTCTTCTTATTATGAGTTTTATTTTGATTCATAGACTATTATTATACGATTTACCATTCTTAAGTTATACCCAGTCTATTAATTACAGTCTCCTACACTCACAACCAAATTTGGCTAAATCTTGTGCAAATGTTGTTTCCTATTTTATGGTACGATGTGGTCTGTTTGATTTGTATACAAACCCAGTATGTCTGAAATACATGATTCATGTCGCAGAGGCTGAGATTGGTGTTCTGGATTTAACAGGTGTGGCTAGGCAGGAAGCTGGACCGATAAGGACTCTGGACTGCTCGTACAGGTTTATGCGTCATTGGTCCGGTCGATAGATCACTGTTCTCTAATTGGCGGTATCATTACGTTATACATTGATAGGGGCACAAACCCACAAGTTATAACAAGTGAAAACAGTCTGAGGTATTTGTTCCTTTAGAGGATACTGGATGGAAAATTTTAAAACAGCAACACCGTCCAAGAATAAGATATTTTATCTAACTGGGCACAGAATCGAATAATTAGAAAGATGAATGAACTAAATGTAGTAGTAACAAGTTCTGTAACTCATAAGCTTTACAAGTGGAACAGTAGATACACTATATTAGTAAGCACAATAATCAAAGCCAAGTAACTAATGGGACAAGAATAAAAAACTATTAATTTATGTGAACAATAGTAAGAAAACAGAAAAAAAGAGCGTTGTCACTTAAGTTTGGTTTGGGGATATACTGCTTGAATATATTAGTTTGATTAGTACGTAATACGGTTATGAGAGAGATGAAAGGTCTATTTTTCAAATAGATACAAATAAAAGTAATTGATACACTAAGTGAATAGCGAAGCCTTTTCTCGGATAGTCGTATTAACTGATTTAAGACTATGGTAATGGATCGTAGACCAAAAGAGACGGAGAAAAACAAGTTATTTCTTTGGTTCAGTTTCTGCTTGAAAAGGTCTACAACAATTTCATTGCAACAGAATGACGTTTCACCACAAAAACTCTAAGCGAAATTTTAAAAACTGACTACTTCCCGTTTTATCTAGAGATTGGTTTGGTTAGGTCTACAGTTAATGCTAATTAAGAACAATCGTAATTTCCGTAATAGGAACAAAAATTGTTCTGAACTTGATGACTCGGGAACTGTTACGCACAACACTTCAACCATAATCCCTAAATGATGAAACCCAAGAAGGCAGGAGTGAAAAAAAGCTAGATGTTCAACGAGAACAAATTTGAACACAGCAATAAACATGACCTTGGGACAGTAAAATTAGCGAACTAGAAGTGGTAAGATCCAATCAGAGAACAGCGAAATCAATACGAAGATATGCACCAGAGAAATATACCACAGATTACGGTTACAAAAAGGAACTTTACATTTGTTGTGACTTTATGTCCGGCTTTTGTCACGTGATTTATCCACCAATCAAAATATGACCTATACAATCTTAGCACTGTGCCAAACCAATGACGTTCGACCGGTAAGCGAAGTCTAGCGTTCTTATTGATCCTATGTTCGCCTAGCCCGTCTACTTGAGTCCAGAACACCAAATACCAGGTTCCAATATGCGAATCGAATCGGATCAGATCGAATTACTTATTTCAGACATACTGGGTTTATATATCAAACAAACAGACTGCAACGCACCATAAAATAGGAAATGACATTTGTGCACAATAAAGCCAAAAAGTGACGGTGAACGTGAGAGGCAGTAGTCAATAAACTGAACATAGTTTAAGAACAGTAAATCGTACAATAATAAATTATAGGTCAAAATAAAGCTTATAATAAGAGGAATATAAATGTAAATAATCTAATTATTGAATAGTTATATCATAAGAATGTATAGATAATATTTGTCAATTAATGTGTCTCAGAAGTTACTCGTGATTTAATCTTCGCTCGGATATAATAACATTAACTAAAAAGTACCAAATAACTTGAGATGTTTTTACCACATTTTTGCGAAACAATTCAATATTCTATAAACATGTGACAAAAAGTAACATAACGTCATGAAAACCGGTAACTGGTGATATTTTAACAGCTTATCTCATGAAACATCACTACCTAAATTCTTGTCTTAACTGTTTACAGATATCAGTTACAGGACAAATCTTATTTGGAAAATTAGATATTCAAGTGTCTGCGTCAAAGTTCCTCATATATATATATATATATATATATATATATATATATATATATATATATATATTTGAATGGTCATAAAAAACTTTCGCTTTGATTTTCTGTAGGAAAATTTAAAATGTAACCGGTTTTCATCACAGAAATATATTCATTCTTCCGTTTAAAGCCTAATAACAAAATAGGAAACCGTATATTCTTTCATTCGAAGGTGAATGGCCGGTGAGTAAATAAAGACTTACAGGTTTGAACAATGTTATTTTAATTAGTATGAGCTCGAAAACTAATCAAACTCATTTACCTCAACACCTTGGTTCTTTAAAAATAAATGTGAATATATTTCAGGTTGGGAAATGTTGAAGGTTGACGAACCCGCATGTACGCCTTTGGATATTGTCTTCTGTCGAAAGAAAATATGAAAACTTTCAAGTCCTTTTAAAAGTGTGAGGAACAAAATGAAAAAACAAAAATATCTATATAAAGTAGTAAATCTTAAAGTCTGCTTTCCAGTACATTTAAACAGAAACCCTTCTCATACTGAACCAGTAAAGTTTGCTTAAACTGGGGTCATCAGAAGAATGGATAACTACCCCTGCTTTGATTTAAACAATGTCCTACTATCTGAGAGAAGAGCCCCTAATTAGTTGATGTATTAACTATTTACTTTAACATGTATTTACTTGAAAATCAAACCTATTTAATTAAAAACGTATATAAATATCGGTGACCAGTCATTTTCCAACACACTCTAAAGTTCGGAAAGTTATAGCTGCATCTAAAATAGAGAAATGAATAACCTTTAAAATGCTACCTCCAAATGTTATCAACTATGACATTTTATGAATACTCATCAAACTAACTATGATCATAAGTGAAGAAATATGAATAAAAAACAAATAAAGGAAGTGTGACTGGTGTTTATTGAACAGTTTCATTTGCAATATTTGAAAAATGTGCAAATGGCCACAAGTAAAATGTCTATATTTTTAATTAATTATCGGTGAACGATTTGGAATCGTAAGTTTTATTTCTGATGTATTTGAGGTAATGGCTTATGTGTGATGAAACTTCCAGAATTCAATCGATACATTAGAGGAAAATATGCAGGAGCAGAATATGATTCAAGTAAAGTCTTCGAAGTACTGACAATAAAAATGTATTCATCCACATTAAATTTAAAGCATCACTCACAACTATAGAACAATGGCATGATGCTTCCGAAGCACTTGGCATTTTACGATCAGAATCAGTGAGCAATTTACTCATGACGTTTGTCCCACAGTAGCCAACTTCACAAATCCGTTTAAAGACGAACGCAAACTGATCTAGTCGTTGATTCAACCCATATCCATCGAATTTGTAGTTCAGAGGTTTGTCAACATTAGAAGTAACCTCTTCAATACTGTCTAACACCAATTTAGAGCAGTACTCTAACAGTACACTTTTGCCACTGGATCGATGAAGTAGAAAATCCACAACTAGGTTCTGTAAAGTAATAACACCCATATTGAATAATCAATGTTCTTAGTTTTACCAAATAAAGAAATCACTAAGTATTACAGGATGTTAAACTATTGACCTTATTCCGCCTATAGAAATACACAGTTCAATATAGATAAGCGAAAAAGTAAACTTCACTGACTAGAACACTTTACAATGATTTGTGGTTCATCTAGAAAATGTTTAAAAAATGTCCCACTTTACTTATAACACCAAGGAAACGAGAATTAGTGAACACTGGAAAGTATGTAAATATCCTACATAGACGAACACTTGTCAAAGACGCTAAGAACGAATAGTTGGACATACAAAAAAACTGCTCAAACCAACCTAATGCAATAAAATATCTTGTGCATTTTAAGCATGGTGAGAATCTGGTCAGGAAACAAAATGAGCTGCTTCGGAAAGCATAGAATACTTGGTGTGTTTATCACTTTACAAAGAGGGTACTACGGAACTGACTTATGTAAAGCAACAGAACACTGTGAACTTGACCACTATTGGTGATTTACATGATGGAAAATATAGACGAAATATTTGGGTGAGAAAGTGGCCTCATTATGATTGACAAAAGTCAAGTAGCCTAAAAACTATGAACAGCTAACAATGGGTTTGAAGGTTAACAAATAACAGAATTTTGACTAACAATGAAAAGAAACATCGTACAAAGGAGATCGCAACATTAGATCCATAACTAATCTACCAGTAATATGTAAAAAGCTTTAAACGCAATCGCAAAGTTGTTCCAAATAATTCAATGCATAAGCCTTTAATGGACGAAAATTATAGTAAATCAGTAATCAATTAACTACTAAGACGAGCACCTTAGTGAAAAATCTTTTCAGACAAAAATAGACAAACGAAACTCACGTGATTAGCAATTAGTTTTGGAAAAACCATATTATTCAAGCATAACAGCCATGAGCAACCTAGAAGAAGAGTTTGAACGAAAACAATCAAAAGAACTACAAAAATGATTGAATATCCAACCTAGACAAATTGGTATGTTGATAAATATATACTTAAACGGACGTATTAAGGAATAATTAGTTTATTTAAAGACAAACTAGAACACACTGATGAAGTGAAAGATCTACATAATGACGAGAAGTGGGTTCAAACACCAGAATGAGCTACATCTAATGGGTTGAAAACATAAACCGGAGCTGTTGAAATATAATTCGAATCCAGTACCTAAGTGTTGATGAAGTAATTTTTATACATTTATCCTAAATTTTTGCTACCGATGAAGAATGTACATAATTCTGTTTGCAACGAGTATGCTGACGAATGGGACATTGATGAGAAAACACAGAAAAGAAAACGTTTAGACAGAATGATCTGTTGTCGAATTCGGAATTTTTACCGTATTTGTTCACAACGGAACAGCTTTTGAACATCGTGAAATAATACATATTCTTATTAAGTTTTTTAACTTTTCCTTATCGTGAAAATAATATTAAGTGAAGAGATGTTAACACGAGTAACCCAGAATAAATGATAAATGACTGCCAAATCTTCTCATACTAAATGTATGCTGTGAACAGTACTTCAAAAAAAAAGATTCTACCTACATTATTTGGCAATATTAAAAGCTAAAGTGAGGAGTATACAAATAATTTTAAAAAGCTGCCGGTCAAGAGGTGGTAACCACCTGAATTATCCCATAACTGCTTACAGTATTATTTAGGAAGAAAACAGATGATGCAAACTACGTTTAAACAGCACTAACTTAACAACTGATTAATCACTGAGAAGTAATCAGTGTCCTGTTTGTCTAGTCCTTTCGTGCTGATCTAATGGTATTGATCAAGTTTGAGTGTGATCACTTAAGTGGTTCGACATTTTGATCACTCGGTTGAGATATCAAGTGGTTGAAAGCTGCCAACAAGATTTCCGGGATTGGATTTAAAGAGCAGGGAGGTGGGCAGTTTATAAGAAAGAGTTGTGCTATGATGGCTTTGTGTGGGAATAGCATTTATTAGTGAGTCACGATTCTTTAGGATTCTAGAGTCCATACAGTCCATAGGCTTGCGGTGTTTTCAAATATGGATCGGAGTAGAAGATACAGACAATTCGGATATGGTTTGCGACTACATTTTTCATAGAAATGAAATTAACTCCCATAACTGAAAGAAGTCTTTCGAGCTGTACTTTCGACTGAACTGTATCTCTTATCAAAAACCACTCTTGTTCATTTATTTTCAGTTTGTACTACTCCTCTCTCCTTTATTTCTTTGTAAGTTGTCACTTTATTTGTGTGTGCATATTCAAAATAAAACATAATCAAACTTGGATACGAAATAAGTGATTTGAAGCTGACTTTGAACATTGATAGTAGTTATGAAGTTATGCAACCATGATTACGTTACCCAACCGACAGCTTTTGTTCATTTGGTGTGTACATTTAGTGTATTTAATAATTCTTTACATAAACTTCTAGCGATCCCAAGTTAGAAATTTTTCAAGTACACTCCGTTAACTCAAGAAAGGAACAAATTGCCGGATAGGTTACAGAACTTCTGCCGGATAATTTAACATAATAATGACACTCACCGAGACTGTTGTCAATTACAACACCGCACAGATGAATAATCCAATTCATTGAATCTGCGAGAATATGTAAGGTTAAGGAATTTTGTTACACAATGGTAAAATCAAGGAGCATGATTGGAACCTAATAATATTGTAAGATTTTTTGGTATTTGTGTGTGTGTATGTAAGAGTGAGAAAATCGCTCATACATGCAAAATATATGAAATCAGTATTTTGTTTCACGTTGATCACTAGGTTTCCCTTCTAATCTATCTATTTTTCGTATATCATATTTAATCTTCGATACAGGACAAGATTAGTGTACATATTTATTTACAACTGCGTTTCTTCCACAGTATTATTTCTTTTTTGGTACATCTTAGCTTTTTCTTGGCCTCTGATTATAGCGGCTGCCATACTGATTTATCGCTTTTTGACTACATTTGCTTGAACTAATTGATTTGAATTGTTCCTTTATGGATTGAAGTACGTTTCCAGTTTGTTGGAAGTCCCTATAATTCTCAACGGGTAGTTAACATTCACGATTCTTTATGTTTTTTGAACTTATCACCCTGTAATTCACGTTTGAGTGTACTAAAATTAGCTAGCCAGTATGGTAAAACCGTGTTCTTTCCGTCACAGGATACATCATTATTTTCTGATGGGTAATTAGTTTTATAGTTTTTAATATTTCTTGCAAATGATATTTTTATGCATTGATTGTATTCGATTTCGAGAACGAAAACTGACTGTGCAGCCCACTTCCTAAAACTATTTAGTTATATTGTATGATCTACACCTTCATACCTGTTTAATAACAAATCGGTACCATACTCGTTTACCAAATCACGATGTTTATGCAATATCAAGTAGTGTATGTCACTAACTAGAAAATTGGGTATTGCAGCTTACGGTTCGAAAACTCGAGCATTTCTGGTCGTTACAAATTTGGTGGATGATAGGTTAAGCAAATCAAACTTAATGACACCACTAGGTTAGTTTTAACTTTGAAGGGTTTACGGAATCATGGCAAATAAAATAACCCCAGTAACTCATTATTTTGAAGGTTACAAATTATAAAACCGAAAATAGACTGAATGAGATTTACATTTATATCAAGGATACATAAATCGATAGGAATTTGAGCATCCAAGTTTGTTGATAATGAGGGAATGACTGAAAAGCAAAATCAAAATACGTTAAGCAGGCAGTTTACGGTTCCCAAAAAGAGCTATTAACACTGATTTGCAGGTTATTATGTAACAAAACATTGACAATGTGAGATACATTTAGAAACTTAAGTCAACCCATAAAAAGAAAAATTAAGAGATGCGAATACCTACAACAAGATATGGTCCAATTTCACCAAATTTGGTAGTTTTAGCTTTTTACTTCGGCATTTAGCATATTTCTAAATGACTGATAATGAATTACAATATTCAATGGTTACAGTTTGGTCATTGGGTATTCACAGAAAATGAAGTGCATACAACCGAATTCGAATATGAAAATGAACGTCACTGAACACCAAAATTTTTGTATACTCGTCATCTAGAACTGCTTAATTTCAAGTTCGAATGCAATATATATATTTATATTTTCTTAGAGCGCCTCGGAAATCAGGGTTATATGGACAAAAGTTGCTATAAAGCATACATGGTAGGGCAAAGAGCCCATAATTGGTGGTTTAGTTACGTTTGTAGAAAAATATGTAAACGTGGCATGTAGAAGTGATGAACATCAAAACAGATAAAAATGTTTAATCTAATACACTCCAAGAACAGACAGCACCGAGTATTTACAAAAATGTATTTGTTCTGTACTATAATACTACTATTAATTGACAGTGCAGTACAAACACAATCTGGACCACCTCAAGTAGATATTACTTCTTGAACTACTGTACAATAGTGTGTGTTATGGAAGTTAAGTGACAAAAAAATATAGATAGATAAAAATGTCCCGAAGATTTTTAAGATCTAACAGTGATGAGTTTAAGTGGCAACTCAATACACACTCTACTGACTTAAACTACATGCCATACTACAGAATTATGTGACAACTAAATGCGTCATTCTAGTCCTATTAGTTATTTCGTTCTATTTCACGTAACTAATTCAGAACTCGTATGTTATTTTTTATATAATGTGGTTGTTCATATGTCTATCTGTTTAAAAAATCGATTATATCATCTATATTAATTGTACGAATCATCACTTAACTCCAATCCATTGAATTGGACGATTATCTAGTTATATTACAAGTGGTCTACGAACAATTTAATTACTAAATCAATACTCTTATTTACATTGTGTTAAATTAGTTACTGATTGTTATCGAAGTTGAAGTACGAACTCATTAATATAGACAGCACACAGAACAGATATTCAGTCCTCCAAGGTTTTTGGTGGTATCTTAGTTGTGATAAACCTGTGATGAATACAATCCACAAATCAATCTCCACAAAACTTCTTCAAATAAACATATGCATTTTATCAAGAAATTGTTGAGCAGGAGAGACGCACTTTTAGTGAAAAGACTGAATGGTGCAATCGAAATATCACGTAATATAGGTGAATGATGAATTACATTGTGAACGGTTCCATTAAGAGCGATATCAAAAACTGAAGTAACCTGGTAAAAAAAAAATAATAATACGGGAAAAATAGAAACATTACAATAGTTTAAAACTTCGAAAATTTGTAGGCAGCAGCCCAATAGAGATGTTAGTTGACAGAGATGATAAAAGACAGATTGTAGGTAATTCATCTGGAAAAAGATACATGCATTAGTGATAAATTCGGATTAAAAACATTTTCTGAGTATGTACTTTTACCACAATCCATTCAAAAATGAAGCATGATATTTAATCTAAAGTGACACGATGAAACTAAAATAATTTATTATGTGACTTATACCACAAAGTCTAAACTTCTTGTCAAAATGAATTAATGTGTAGATTAAGCCAGGTGATCTTTACATCCTTGGATAAAGTTTTTTAGAAAGGAGTACTGGTAGTTTCTTACTTATCTTGACAATAATAAAGGAACAATTTTACCGCACATTATAATAATCTAGAGGTTTTGTGTAAGACGTAAACAACATGATAAGCATATAATTCTCGGCAAAATGTTTACTTTACGATCCACTAAAAGTGGAATATTATACCATTCAAAATACGACTAAATAAACACAACTCAATTTTATAAACTAAGTGTGATGCCTAAACTTCTCATTCAGTAAGAAACCATACAAAATAACAAATAAAATTATATATTTTTAAATTACTTAGAAGGCAAAAACATTTGAATTCCGACATTCCGTGACTCGTTTCAAGACACTTCTTCAGAGTAGTGCAACACATTAAGTCAGCTATTTCGTATACGCGAGAAACTTTGTACTACATTTACTCGTTTAATACAACGGTGTGCATAGAAGATATAGAAATATGATACACAGTGAAGATTTTTAATGCATAAACGCAGTTTCAAAAATATACAAAGATGAAAAATACGATCTAATCTGTAAACGGTTTTGAAATATGTTACTAAAATGTCCATTCAATATACGTCGAGACGTAGGGGTTTTTATTAGGTATGTTTGGACGTTAGAATGAAGTCGATAGAAAGTCATTTTAGAGATTTACTCCTTTGGCTCGTTCTCTTAGACACTTTGATTACCCACTATCTTTGAGATCACGAGCGTTCGGAGCAATCTGGAAACGGAGAAAAATGGAATATGTTGTAGGTGGTCATCTTCCTTGGATGCTGCTTCCCCATTCAGGATTATCTACTTTGCAAGAATTATAATCAGAGTAACGTTTTAAAAATTGTGATAGCGAGACAAGACTAACCACATATTTTTTCTATCTTGGAAAAATGTTTTATGAGTACCTAACAAACGGAGAAGCACCTGATAGACACTTAAGGCAATCGAATATTAATGAAACTACGTACATACATCTAAGTCAGCTTAAAGCGCAACATCTTAACATCCCTAATCCATTAGCTATTGAGAAGGGAAGATTCGTTTATAATATATTATTAACAAAGGATTCGGATATAGAAGATTAAATGAGGAGTGATAGACATGAATACATTTAATGTTGAACAATAATTAGCTGGAGATCAGCATCTAGAAACGAGATTTCTCTTATTCCAATACCTATATTGATGTATTTAGTTGAAACACTCATTACACAAAACAAGGAAGCAATGCCAATAACAAGACATCGTTTTATTATTAAATTGAGAAATACGAGTAAAACACAGCACTGGTATATCTATTTTCAGAGGATTAATCTAACGAAAACCCAGTCCACGCAATGAACATTATGTGTAATGACCACTGCAGTAACTGGCATGAGATCATATAATTGTGAGAATAAAACAGTGAAATATTTCACAAGCGAATATAAATGTATATACACACCTTTCTGCTTTGATAGTGTACCATGAACAGGTTATCCAAGACACTGAATGACACAGGACCCTGAAAATCTAAAATTAAGAGGTGTGTCAATACGATGGGATCTTCTCTAAAATAAAAAGGGATCCAATAAACTCCAGAAACAGAATGCTCACATTTTTAAAGTATAAAAACTAATAGTTCGAGTAAGATTTGGTTCGTTATGTAGCTTTACGTAGCGAAGAGTACCAAAGTACAAATCCTCATATCTGAAAAGAAAGGTTAAAAAGTACAAGAACCTACTTACAATAAAGCTAAAAAACAGTGTTTCTGTTCAATCGATATGGTATCACCATTGGCCCCTGCCGATGTAGGAGACAGGAACTTTGGTCCTTTTGTGATTGTGCCGGGTGTCTATGAGATAGGAAAAAGATTATTGAAGATTTTCAATCTAAAATAAAAAGTTAACGAAATTAGCAGTAACCTTGTTGTTCAAAAATATCTTTAGTGAGCGAAAAAATACTTTAATTTCCAATCTGTTGTCAATGAAGATTATGTGGGTTTACAATCTTCAGAGAAAGAAAATACTGAAACAAATATGAACATTTACTGATTGAGAAAGATTGATTCAAAATTAAATTTTGATATTTCTATGTGATTTGAATTAATAAAATATGTAGTACAATTTACCTCTCATTCATTATTAAAATGGTTAATTCATAAATATGAATAAGCTTATTTGTCGACTAATTCATTTTGGATCTGATTAAAACTCCTTGAAGTGGTTAAAATAACTTGAAAGTACTCGAAAAAAATGGGGTACACAAATACCGTTTAAAAATTTTTTTATTATTTAAATTTTGGCTTTATGAAGTGTTGGGATATTCAGGAAAATATCCCAGAAATTATCCTATTAAGTCTAATGCTATTCTTGGACTTGGACATGGTATGATTTTCTTATTGGTCAGTACTTATTTCACGTGTCATTTTTCTACTCGTCAATATTGTACAATGTTATTTTCTATTTTATGGTATGTTGTGGTCTGATTGACTGGTATATAAACAAAGTATGTTTGAAATATAATGATTCATATATCCGAGGCTGAGACTTGCGTTCTGGACTCAACTGCTGGGCTAGATAGGGAAGCGGGGCCAATCAGAACCTTAGGTCGTTCTACGTGTTTGTGCGTCTTTGGTCTGATCGATAATTCGCTACCCTCTAATCTGCTGCCGTCACAGTTATAGCATGAAGGAAGGCTTTCTCTTTAACATTTATTATTTTCTACATTATCAAACTAACTGTTTGCCGATACGATGGACTGATGACTCATGAGTTATTCCAGTTGATTCCTCCAGTCATCAGATATGCGAAAAAGGATAGTGACATACACAATTTTGTTTAGAAAATAACTGAGCTCCGCTGAAAATGGTATAAGTTGAAAAGTCGGAATAGTGGCCGGATTTTTAAACACAGAAACTTCAACTCCATCTTACCTTCAGTTGAAATATATGTAGTTTTTTCTCTTGGTCTGAAGTGATACAAATATGTGTCTCTGGGTTCCATAAAAACCAGCAAGTGTTGAGAGGTAAATAACTATTTAAGCGTAGAGTATTCTTCTCAGGTAATACCTAATATGATATAGAAACAAGAGTGATTTGAAATGCTGACTTATAGGGAAAAACAATAGGGTGAAAAACGGAAAGTTAAAACCAACCAGAGCCTTCAACCTAAAGGTCTGATCGACAAGGCAGTGCAGCAACGTAAGGAGATGCAGTCCCATGGTACACGGTGACCAACAATTACTTCATACGCCATTTGTTCCCTCAGGATACTGGAGTCCATGTGCACCATTGATTTAGAATCAGGGTTTTCCCACTCTCCTAAGTGAACCCTCTGTATCCACCAACTGGCTTAAAGCGCCTGATATTCGCCTTTCGTTTTCTCAATTTCGTAAACCACATCCCTACCGTGAGAAGTTAGTGAGTAGGACTCTCCTGACAGTGACTGTATACTCATGGCCATATGAGAGCATTTCGAGAGGGAGAGTTGACTCTCCTCACCCTCAGCCGTACCGGGGCATGTAAGACATGAATGACAATCGTTGAGTAAGAAAATGAACATTAGTTGCGAACAAAAATATAAAATTTTGAAGAGAACGTGATGTAACCGAACTGCTGACCATTGCTGAATTTCGGAAACTATGAAAATAACTCAATGTTCTTTAGTACCAACGTATAACAATTGACACCTACATAAGGCATTACAAAACACTAAGCACAGTTAAAACCAAACTTTTAATCTACTGAACACTTCAACCAATAAATCACTAAAGATTTAAGTCAAACCCTACTTACGTTAACTGGATTTCTGAAGATGAATGAATAAAACTTCAGCTTTAACTATGTGGTAACAAGTTTGAGACCTGCAATATAAACTATAATTCAGAAAATTGAGTAGTGTGACTTGACTTTAGGAAAGCTTTGACGCGGAGACAAGTTCGTGAGACGGTGTGACGCTATACTTTTACCGTGCTTCTGGTATTCGTTTAAGACTGGATCGAATCATGTTACTCCCACATTGAAAATGGTGGGGGGTTTGCACTCATATCATCTTTGTAAACCATTTTACAATCATTGACTACTTGCAATCAACAATAGTGATATTCATACTGCAGTAATGAAAGCATACACCTTGTCGCATTGGCTCATGAAAGTGGAAGTTTATTATATGTATAAGAGTACTAATCTATGAGCATCAACAAAGTTTTATATTCGGAATAAATAGGGCTGAGCCATATTTTACCTCCTTCGTCAGCGAAACAGTTAACATGGACTTTTGTAACGATCGATTAAACTTTAAGTAAAAGAGAACAATCAGTACTTCTTGAACTACCTGAATAAAAAAATATAAAGGTATGACACAACCGATAAGAAAAAGCCCCCTCTCGAAATGCTCTCATATGGCCATGAGTATACAGCCCATGTCAGGAAAGTCCTACTCACTAACTTCTCACGGTAAGGATGTGGTTACGAAATTGAGAAAACGAAAAGCGAATATCAGGCGCTTTAAGCCAGTTGGTGGATACAGAGGGTTCACTTAGGAGAGTGGGAAAACCCTGATTCTAAATCAATGGTGCACATGGACTCCAGTATCCTGAGGGAACAAATGGCGTATGAAGTAATTGTTGGTCACCGTGTACCATGGGACTGCATCTCCTTACGTTGCTGCACTACCTTGTGGATCAGACCTTTAGGTCAAAGTTTCTGGGTGTCATGTCAAATCCAAGAATAGTAGAGGTAGTAATAGCATCAATGGTAATGGGAAAGGTCAGGCATCAAAGATACAATTTGAAAAAATATAAATTAGCGAAATGAAAAAATGATAATGAGGTCTGAATTTCAGGAGCTGGGGGAAGATAAAGATTGGATGGACATGCGCCATTGCAAACGATTTTGAATCCTGTCATTCAGAGTCTCTAACCATTGGTGACGATATTCTAATGGACCCCAACCAAGTAGTCTGTACCTAATAAGAAACGTCAGTCCAACTCTCAGTGACTTTATGGACTTGATTTGGCCACCCTGAACTTTCAGTGTACTACTATACCAGACATCACAAGTCGGTGTAGGCGGTGGATGGGCGTACGTAACACGTCATAGATATGGTCGAGCTAATGTACATTTGTGACGCTTTTAAGCTGAAAATAACTGTACAGAAACTATTCAGACAAAACCAGAATAATAAAGAAGCTTTCATTACTGAATTATACTTTACTTTTGGACGGAGAAAACAAATATACGGCTACTGGCTGAAACTTACACAAAAAAGTGAACTTTCGATAATGCTGCATACGGCACTGGTCTCTATTTACGGAAATAAGGTTAAGCCCCAAATGCCAACCAAAGTGTTGCTTTCATAACAGAGCACCGACCCAACACAGGCTGGAAAACGGTTGAGAACTAGGTCATTACCTTCTTCGTAAACGCTTCAGGTGCTTGGCGCTGTTTTATCAGATGGCATACGGTGCTTAATGACGTCAGCTAAATGCAAACCAATCTAAACCAAGTAAATTAAGATCAATTGGTGTTATGTAGCATACCCCGATGAATGTCGAATCGTGAAAAGACACATTCCAATCTAACTGTCCCGACAAACGTAGATAATTACTGCATGCAGTGCGAGGTTTTCTGTTGTTGGCATGGTGTGTGGTCTGCCTATTTTGATCCAAGATTCTCGTGAGAGAATGATTACGTCTGATGCAGTGTCTCTTTGTAATATAAACGTATGCTCATAAATATTAAGGGTAATAAATTTCCTCTCATCTGGGGTTGAGCTCTAACATTTTGCTATTAGACTCAACGAATTTGTGCAGGATCTGGGAACAGGTTTTTTAATACTCGTGGAACGATTTGGCTTCCTCTTTAGACAAAGTCCATCTTTGTGGCCCACTGATTAACACTTCCTGCAACGATGTTGTCTATAAGGACAGCTTCGTACACATAATGCCATGCACCAGTCAGTCAGTAGCAACGTAGAACTTCATACGTACATATATCAGTTCAAGTTGCCACACCATATTAGCACAGGGATACAATTGCCGATTCCAATCCCGTAGTGGTAGAGGTAGTAAAAGTATAAACAGTAATCGAAAAGATTAGGGTTTAAAGATGTTATTCAAGGAGTATTATCCAGTGAAATAAATTTGGAAAGAGAAAAAAAGGGACATGAAGAATTCAGAAGATAAGAATTTGGGAGAACACAAAGAGTGGATGCACCTGCGCCATTGCAAAAGATTTTTAGCCATGTCATTCAGTGTCTCTAACCATCGGTTGCTATCATCTCGCGGTCCCCAACCAGGTAGTCTACACCTACCGACATGACTCAGACCACTTGTCAGTGATTTCATGGACTTGTGCCATGTTTTGGTCTGGCCGCCCCTAGCTTTCTTCCATCCTACTCCTACACCATAAAACATTGCACGTCGGGCGCTAATGCCATGCACTACAGTACTAGCAGGGAGCAGGAGGTTTTGTCTTTGCCTGTTGGACTGAATTTGAGTGAGATGGACTAGATTTTGCTGGGGCAGATTTAATCGAGTTGGATGGTTGTTGGACTACATATACTTCAGGTCGATCGGAACTAACACGCTGAATTATCGTAGTGTCGTGTTGCAGATTAACTATACGTTGATATTCAATTTCAATAGCATTAAAAGTCAATTTACGGTCTAGTCCATTCGAATCAGCAACCGTGTTCTGATGTCACTGAACTTTTGCGATTGGAGACTGCAGATGGGAATGAGGACTTTGAACTAGTCTTCAGTCAGCGACTTCAACTGGAAGCGTTCGCATTCGCGGTTGACGATTCCCACATGCATCAGAAATCAGCGTTTTCGTTCATCGTCAGTTTCAAACATTGATAGCGCGTGTTGAACAGTGAGAAGTTATCTCCGAACAGTTAGCTCAATGACTGAACGGTGCCTGAGAATGAGTTGTCACGTGGGTTTAGTGGCAGAATTAAGCTACAAAATCTAACTAGTATACTCAGACACAGCTTTCGAAGCAGCAAATGCACTTCCCAAGCGTTATATTGATTAGCAAAATCAAATTTGAATAAGACTTCATAACGCTGAAAACACATATCAAATGTGACATTGGATTCAGAATCGCAATGCAATTCTGAGACACTTCTTGCGATACCATCAACTGACGGTTTTCAGTTGTAGTAGAATTAGACCCGACCGAAGCTGCTACCTTGACGCGATGGTCGGGCTTGCCTATCGTGATGACCCAAATGAGCTATATTGGCTGGAACATATGTTCCTGTAGGTTCTACCATGCCAGGAAGGTCGATTGGAGAACGGTAAGACTAAAAGCAGCAACTCAAGGTCTGAGGGAGAAGTCGTACTGCTGACTGTAGAGGGGTGTGACAGCAGTAAGGTGTTTCCCTCGGACAACCAGCATCTGCAGCGAAGCTGCCTTCCCACATGGAGGGGCGGGGTTAGAAAAGGCCGACCCTAAAAATGTCACACTTCACCTTACCTCACGGATTTCCGTCTCCGGCGGTAATGCCCTTTGAAGAACGAAGCTAACACATTAAAAACCTTCCACGAAAGGGCCGTGCGCGACCGGCCTCAAGCAGTTGTCCGTTGGGCTCTGCGGTCACGCTCCCAGGTCGTTAAGACCAACATTAATCCGACTTCTTTTTCAGGTTCCTCAAGAAATACCCTTCCATGGTGTGGGCAGCCGGGAAGTGACATCAGCCCTCATACCCGTAACAGCACACGAGACCAAGTTGGTCACATTCAAATCCTTCCTACACCTCCTAATACCTCTCTTATCTCCAAGACTAACCCTCCTCACGTCTCTTTATCACCTCGCACCGCTAGGGCAAACGATTCGAGTACGCGGAACGCTATTCCTGGTCTCCTCGAACCACGCTCTAAACTACACGTAGGAGCTTTTAACGTCCGAACACTGTGCCAAATAGGACAACAGACTTCCTTAGCTAGGACTTTAGAATCCCGCGCCATCGATGTGTGCTGCGTCTCCGAAACGCGCATACAGGATCCGAGTAGCGTCATTCATCTGACCTCACCACGCCAAAATAAAGAACCGACTCCATTCAC